TTGCGCGGGAGCGCCCCCGTCCTTCCGCTAGATTATCCCCCTGTGCCCCCCATGCGTCGACCGGGTCCGCCGCCCCTGGAAGCGCGCCATTCGCGCTGCCATGCATGCGCGACGCGCCTCCGTTCCCTCTTCTAAATGCACGTGCACCGTGCCGCCCAGGTCGCCCACGGCAGGCGCACCCGCCCCGCGCGCGCCGTGCCCCGCGCGCCCCGCGCGCAGGGGGGGGCAATGCCCTCGCCGGCGCAGGGGCGAAGCCTGCCAGCGCCGACCGCCCCCGCGCCACCCCAGAGCACCGCGGCAACAAGAAGCGCTGCTCTTCAAAGCTCCATGGCGAGGCGCGCGGCGTCGCTCAGAACGGTAATGACACAACGAAGTGGGCGAGCTCTCCACAGCGCGGAGGGCGGTCATCCCGGCGCCCGCGCGACGGCGTCGCGGGGCGGCGGGGTGGCGGCGGACGCGGCCGATACCTCTCGCGCGCCAAAGTCGTCGGATGCGGGGCCGCCAGCAAGTCGCATGCATCAGAATAATATATTGGGCGCGGGGGGTGGGTGAGCGTCGCCGCGGCGGCGAGAACTCCGCGCCGCGCGAGCACCCGCCAGAAACGCAAAACAGATGACGCGCGACGTGGCGCGCTCCCAACCTGGCGCGGCGCCGTCCGATGCCCGCGGGCCTCTATGAATGCCCCGGCGCCCAGACGCGCGCGCGACATCTTTTCCCGCGACCAGTCCGCGGGCGCGACCAGTCCAGCGTTGCGAAACCATGTGTGTTTGCATGGTTTCTTGGAAACTCGATTGCGAAATCCCTCCGACACCGAAGGTTTTTGAAGGATTTCGGCATGCGCGCGCGACGACGCGCGCGCGTGCACTTCGCTCTATTTTTTTTTTTTTTTTTTTTCGCACCATGGGAACGAACGATAAGAGCGCAGCCAATGAGGGCAGCCAATCCGGGCAGCTTATGAGAGCATCCGACGCGGGCAGCCCATGGACGGGGGCAGCTCGCGGGGGGGCAGCCGACGCGGGCAACCTGCCAGAGCAGGCTATGGGGGCAGCCCGCGGGGGCAGCATGCGAGGCAGCCTGTGGGGGGCAGCCTGCGGGCGCAGCCTGCGGGTGCGCCCCGTGAGGGCAGCCGATCGGAAACAGCCTGTCGATGAGGGCGGTCGATGAGGCAGCGCATGGACGCGCCCGACGCGGGCTGTTCATGGACGAGGGCAGCCTGCGGTGGCAACCTGCGGGGGCCTCCCATGGGAACTGCCCGAGGGGCGGCCTATGGACGGGGGCGACCCACGGGGGCGCGGTGCAGGAAGACGCCCGCAGGAAGCCCAACATTGGAAACGGAGGAATATCATGAGGATCAGGAGGTAGAAGAAGGGAAGCTGGAGAAAAGGGAGGAAGGGCAAGACGAGGGGGGCGGAGGATAAATGAAGAACGAGAGCTGGAGCAAAACAAATTCGAGCATAACGAGAATAATTAAGCAGGGGCTCAGGGGGAGAACGACCCCCCTCAATCGTCGATCCTCCATCCTCGACCCTGCCCGATCTGTACATTTTGGGGGGCGCTGTTTTTCACGACCTCGATGGGGGTCCCGAGCGATCTGCTTCGAGAACCCGAGCGGTTGCGTCATCGATGAAATAGTCGCCCGAGCGCGCGGACGCAGCGGGCGCATGTGCACCCCGGAAAGTTCGAAGTGGTAACAAGCTGAAACATACTTCTAACACAACAGCGAATTCTTGTTCTACAAGTCTGTACTGCTGGTTGGGGTGATTGGGGCCTCTGTTAGCTTCACTTAGCGTCGCCTGGTGATTGTGCGCGGTCGGAGTAGCGCTGCAAATAAACCGAGACCTCAAATCTTGCACGGTCGCCTTGGAGACGACATGAAGAATTCGAGAGCGTAGGTTTGCAATCGACGCCTATTGGCCGCGTCGGCCGAATCCCCAAGAAGGGGACGCTGCCGCGCGGAGGCGGAGAGAAGGAGGCACCGACCGACGCGGGGTAGACATCAAGACACCGAGCGGATACACGACCCAAAACACAAGCTCTCGAGCACAACGGCACCACGAAAAGCAGACGCGCGCGCATTGCAACACATGTAACCCAACGAAGCACATTAATAGCAGCTGGGGTGGACATTTCCAGATGCCCAGATTTGCAAAAGATGAGGATGGCATTGCTGATGATGGTTATGATGGCGATGCTGAGGGCAATCTATGGGGGCGCCCTGTGTGGGCGGCCTCGGTGCAGCTCATGCATGGGGCAGCCCATGGGGGCCGTCTTAGGGAGCAGCCATGGGATGGGAGCAGCACATGGGAGCAGCCTACGGGCGCAGCCTGCGGGGCAGCCGGCGGGGGCGCCGGCAAGTGCAACATATGTATGCGGGCAGCCTGAGGGCGCGGCCTGCGGGGGCAGCCTATGGGTTCAGCCCATGGAGCTGGGAGGCCTAGTTCACGAGGGCGCTCGGGCGCGGGGGCAGCGCGCGGAAGGGCGCAGCCCATGAGAACGCGCGATAAGAGCGCAGCCACTGAGTGCAACCAGCCGCGTTCCTAGTCATATGCCGCGACAGATCCCATCATGCCCTGTCATGCTATTTTCAATGTCGCCACATCGAGAAAAACAGGTGAGCTTTCCAACCTCACTCGTACTCTTTCGGCTTTCCTCCGCCCTCCTCTTCCGTTCTTCCGTTCCCTCCCTCTTCTGCTGCGTTTCCTGTTTGTTCCTTTCTCTCCCTCCTTCACCGCCTTCCTCCTGTCGCCCCCGTCTCTGCCCGCCTGTCTGTTTGCTTATGCTTTGTCGGGGATCGGCGGAGGAGGAGCAGGAGGAGGAGCAGGAGGAGGAGGAGGAGGAGGAGGAGGAGGAGGCGGCGGAGGATGAAGAACACGGAGAGGAGGAGGAGGAGGAGGAGGAGGAGGAAGAGGAGGAGGAGGAGGAGGGGGAGGAAGAGGAAGAGGAGGAGGAGGAGGAGGCGGCGGAGGATGAAGAGCACGGAGAGGAGGAGGAGGAGGAGGCGGAGGAGGAGGCGGAGGAGGAAGAGGAGGAGGAGGAGGAGGAAGAGGAGAAGGAGGAGGAGGAAGAGGAAGGAGGAGGAGGAGGAGGAGGAGGAGGAGGAGGAGGAGGGAGGGGACTGGACCTCCTTGGGGCACCTCCAGCGCGGCCCTGGCGCGCCAGAGGTCCAGCGCAGATCCGCGAAGTCTTTGCACACCTCCCAACGTTTCTGCTTACGTCGTCTTTTGTCCTCCCGTCGTCCGCGCTGGTCAACCCGCGGATCATCTCAGGGGGGCGCCGTTTGAGACACCAGTAGTTGGCCTTCAAGGGGGCCCTCGTCGCCACGGCTGGACGCAACTTGAAAAATGAGGCCGCTTGGACCCCATGAGGGCACTGGAGACCGATTTTGAGGAGGACCCGACGCACGCCTCAAGGACCGGCGGCTTACAGCCCAAGGTATCGTGCTCGCCCACCGTGCCTGGCTAATGGGTCAGAGGCCTCATGAATGTTGGTTGTGAGCTCGCGTTTGGCCTCTCGGGAGCCTCTTGGAAGCAGCTTTGGGCCCTCTTCGGGCCTCCTCCTCCTTCCTCTTCCTCCTCCTCCTCCTCCTCCCTCCTTCTCCTCCTCTCCTCCTCCTCATCCTCTTCCTCCCCCTCCTGCCTCCTCCTCCTCCTCCTCCTCCTCCTACATCCTCCTCCTCCCTCCCCCCTCCTCATCCTCCTACCCTCCTCCTCCTGCTCTCCTCCTCCTCCTCTCCCCTCCTCCTCCTCCTCCCCCTCCTCCTCCTCCTCCTCCTCCTCCTCCTCCTCCTCTTCCTCCCCCCCCTCCTCCTCCTCCCTTCTTGGGGGCTGTTTGGGGGGCTCCCGGGGCCTGCTTGGCGCCTCTTCGAGGCCTCTTGGCGCTTCATGGGGGCCTCTTGGGGTGGTCTGGGGGCCTCGCGTGGGCGTCTGGTCGCCGAGACCTTGACTTTTCACACTCGGGGGCCACGATCCTCGTAGTTTATATAGATTTCAATTGCGCACGATGCATACATCGATATTGTGACGGGGAATGCATACATCGATACTGGGACCGCCAAGGGGTGTGTGCCTCGGATTGCGGAGAATATTCCGACTCGAAGGGCCGGTTGGAGACTGGCTCCGCGCTTACAACGGGGTCGTCCAAGGCGATGCTCTGAGTATGATCGCACTGAACAATGTTGTCATATGCATTTTGGAGGCTGCAAGTGCCCACAACGAGGTTGAAGATTTCAATTGCGCAACCAAAACAGTACCAACAACCATTTCAAGTTCAATTGTAGCTGCAGGAGAAGTGCGCACGGCATGGCTTACATCACGTGGGTTTCACGGTTCGTTTGCCGATGTTTGGCAGCGTTTAAGTTTAGATCGCAGCCAGGGTTTGCAGGGCCGCCTTCCGTTCGCGCGAGGCCGCCGATCCCGAAATGTAGGGTTCGCTCCCGCCGTTCAACTACCCGCTTTTGGAGGCCTGCGCTGGCCTCCGCGGGGGGACTGCACAGCGAACCATCGCGGGGGGCCATCACAGGGGCGGTTCGGAGAGCCCCTGCGCTGGCTTTGAAGTTTCTTGGGCGTCTTTTGGGCGGCAGTTCGCGTTCCCTGGTCGGGGTTTCCGCGGGGCTCTCATGGGCCGTATAGGTTGTCTTTGGGGGCCTTCGGCCGATTAGGAAACATCTTAGGAACCGTTGGGCCGTCTTGGAGTCTGGGGGCGCCAGGCCCCGCGCCGGCCACGTCAGGGCTATACCTGCGCGCTGCCCCCGCCGCGTCATATCCAATATTCGGGGCGATTCGTCCCTCGCGAAACCATTCTCCACCGTATCCTGCGGTCATGGCTCAAATGTTATTACTGTAGCGGGGAGGGTCCTCGCACTTACTGGGGCTTATCCTCTCGATAGAACGCTTGCGTTCACCCTGGGGCGCGATCTCATTCGCCCTTGCACCCTCGCGTTCATAAGCATGCCAGGCGCGGGCGATTACGTTCCGCCCAAGCAGTACATGCGCGTCATGAAGGACTTGTGGGACGCGGTTGGTTGACGGACACTTCGACCCAAACTACGTGCTCACGAAGAGCGGGCACGACCTCGTGCAACACTACTCCATTAAGGCTTCGCACCCCGAGATGCCGTACGCAATGCACTTCCTGTCGATGATGTGCGCGCTGTCCAACGGGGCGAAGATTGCACTGTTCCCTTCGTCGGACAGTCCACTCTTTATCTTCTTCCTTAACATTAACTATGCTCAAACACGGAAGAGTTCGATCACGGGCAGTGCAGACGGGTTCGGCGACCAGATCGACAAACACGTGTTGAAGGTAGTTGAAAAGATGTGGGATGATCTGAAGAGCGCGGATGACGAGGAAGAGGAAAATAACGTTGCTCCCAAAATCGTCTCTTCAGTGCTGCACTCAGCGACGCCAGCTGAGTTCTTTCACCGCATGGCTGGCGACTTCCAGCAATTGCAGAACACCAACAAAATGGATCACGACGAACTGAAGCGCAGGCATTTCTTCGGCGTGCTTGTGAACTTGGACGAAGCGCACGACCTACTCCAAGCCTTCGGGCTTTTGTCCGACGAGCAGAAGGCGTCCAGCAAGGGCGGGGGGAACGCCGTCAACCCGCACCAGTCTGCTTTCAACAAGTTAGCGCAGTGCGGCCAGGCGTCCCGGTCGACGAAGTCGTGCGGGTCCTACGGCGCCGCGGCGGCGCCGACGGTGTCTGTCGGCATGACCGGGAACATGCGCCCCAGCCAGTACGCGCCCATGGAGAGGGGGGAGTCTGGCAGCCATTTCGCCCACACGAAGGAGCGGCTCATGGTGGCGACAGGCCGGCCGGTGCAGCCGCACGAAGCGCTCCCCGCGGACTTCGCCCCCCCGACCGGCCACTCGTCTTGGACGTGGTCTCCCTGCTGCCAGACATCGCGGACGCACTCGGATTGGGGGAGGGGGCGGCGAGTCCCGAGGCCGCGGAGAGGCTGTGGGAACGTCCGACTGATGGCCTACCCGCGTTGGATGCCGCGGCAGAAGTCGACGAGCGGTTCCGCCCAGACGCGAACGGCTACGTGGTCACGCTGCCAGACGGCGTGGAGACGAGAGTGCGCTTCCGCTTGGCATCTGACGCAACGTCGGGTTTCGAGGCAGAATGGCGGATCGCCAACCGCAGCTTTCCCATTCCTGCCGCGTACGAGTTGCAGAAGTGCTGCGCCCGCGTCCTCACGTATTTCAACGAGCCCCACCGCGTCCTCACCCTGACCGACCGGGCGGACGTTACATTCAAGTCGTACATGGGCTGCTTCAACGTCCAGGCGGCGGTATAGATTGCTGGGGGCTGTACCCTAGGGCCTACTACCGACCCTAGGTTTGCCTAGGGTAGGCCCTACTGAAGGCCCTAGGCATCCCTAGGGTAGGCCCTACTGACGGCCCTAGGCTTCCCAAGGGTAGGCCCTACTGACCCTCCCATGGTAGGCCTAGGGGTAGGCCCTAGGGGTAGGCCTAGGGTATGGGGGTAGGCCCTAGGGGTAGGCCTTCCCTGGGCAATCTATATGCAGGCGGCGACGAAGCGCGACAAGAAGGACATCGAGGGCGCCGCGCGCATGGGCTGCGCGCTGTGGCAACTGGGACAGATCGCAGGGGCCCTGTGCGTATTCGACATCTTCCACGGCCGCTACGACGAGACCCCAGTGTACCAGGGCAGGACCATCCAGGTTATGCCCGAGCACATTAAGCGGGCCGCTAGCTTACTGTCCGTGGTGGACCGCCTCAAAGCGATCGCGGCGGGCGGAGACGCAGCGGCGACTTGCCCTCCCGGCATGGACGAGGCCGCGATGATGAGGCTCCAGATGGAGAGTTACATCGGCACGGAGGGGGCCCCGCAGCCCTTCGACGGCCTGTGGTCCCAGAACGCCTTCGCAGGCGACGCGGCGACGCCTAGCGGCAACCATCTTGAGGCATCTGCAGTGGAGGAGGAGGAGGCTGAGGGGGAGGCTGCCCGGGCATTGGGGCTCGACGGGACGCCGCAGGACGAACCGCGCGGCGCCGCCGCGCTGGGCAGCGGCGCCGGTGCAGACGATGGCGGCTTTCGCCAGCGCCTCGCGGCAGATGGGCCCGAGGGCGCGGGGGTCGGCGCGCGGGCTGACGTTCCGGGCGCAGAGGAACTCCAGGGTGCAGGTGACTTGGCTGCCGCCCAGGCGGCCCCTGCGAGCTCCACTCGCGACGCCTTGCTCACGATGAAGGACGTCCGGTCCATTGAATACGGGTACGGACTCCAGGGATCTTCGGTGCAGGAGACGTTGCTCGCGCCTCAGTGGACGGACCGCGCCGTGATGCAGAAAACGCTCCTCGCGGGGACCCCAGTGATTGACCGCAGGTCTGCCGCGCAACGCATCATGACTTCCCGTGCGGGTGGGGAGAGACGCAAGACCATTGATGCAGAGAGATGGGCGCGCGTCATGAAGGCAGGCCTCGCGGGTTGCTCCATTGCCCAGTTTGACGAAGAGGGGTGCAAAGTGAAAATGACTCCAGTTCCAGATGACGTGGCCTTGCGCCACAAGTACCACAATGAGCTCATGACCTTGTGCGGCATTACGCTCCGCCAACTGGTGGAAGCCATGCAGTCCGCCAAGAAGGCAGCCGAGCAGCGCGGCCGGGCCGGCCCGAGGGAGCCTCATCCAAATAAGAAGGCCAACAGGGCGGTGGCTGAGCGGAGTCGCAGCCGTTCGCGGCAGCAGGATGCCCGCGAGCGCAGTTGAGTCCAGGGCGCGGACGCGAGGTCCATCGGATGCTGCCAGCCTTGCATCGCAGCGCTGGGTCTGATCCAGCCCGAACAACGTCGCTTCGTGCTTGGCCCAGCCGCTCTTACCTTAGACCCTAGTGACCTCGCAGCCCTGGCTTATTTTTGTTGCTCGCTGCAGCAGACGCGCTCGAGTTGTAGGGCAATCCACGGCTCGCGCGAGTTGAATTCCAGCTTTTCTCATGGCGCACGGCTTCAGCATTACTTTCCAGCTGCCGCGCTCGCTCCAGAAAGGGGTGCTTCTGGGGCGCATATCAATACAGAGAGGACCGATCGTAAGCAAAAGAAGCGTGCTCGTCGGAGCCTTGTGTCCTCTCTTCCGTTACGGTCATTGAAATGCCCAGGTTGCGCGCTGTGCCACTTTCGCCGCATGGGATTGACCGACGGCGCGAAATATCCTGCTGTTTCGGATGACTCCCCTGCCATCCCAAGCCCTCCCCATTTCCCCAGTTAGGCCTTAGGAGTGGGCCTGGGGGTAGGCCCTGGGGCTTGGCCTAGGGTAGGCCTAGGGGTAGGCCTTCGGGGTAGGCCTAGGGGTGGGCCTTCCCCAGGCAAGCTATATGTGCCCCAGCTCCCTTTGAGTCGTCCTCTCCCGAGGTCCCTCCCGGACTGCGAGGAATTTCCTTATGCGCGCCCTGCGGGCCCGCGCGGGTCCGCGCGGGCCCGCGCGAGCGGGTCCCGTCCGCGGCGCAGGGCGTGCATGGGGAAGTTTTCCATGTTCAGACGGGACACAGGGGTGCAAGAGCGATCGGCGGGGCCAGGCGATTCCAGGTGAAGACGCCATGGCAGCGTCGAAGACGTAGCCCCCACAAGCAAGCCTTAATCGAATCGCAATAGCCGTGCAATGCGGATGACATCGCATACACCGCGATGGCTTGACGTCCGCCATTAAACTGCCCGCTACGTGAGAGGCCGGCGCTGGCAGACACTTGAAGCCGTCGCGCGTTTTGGGTCAAGCGCCCTTGGGGCGGGGCGGCTTTTGTTCGTTGGCACGGGCTGCCAGGTAGGCACCATCCATGGCGGCGTCGCCCAGCGATCTTCTTTCCGCTGGCGGGCCGCAGCCTGGTTCGGACGAACAGTTGCACGTCGCTCTGCGGGATGCGTTGCGCACGGCGGACGTGCTGGCACTTCTGGGGGATCAGGAGGTCAACGGCATGGCCACTTCCCTCAGCCAGGGTTGGAGGCCTTCGCCGCCATTTCTCGGGGGCGAGACACGCTCGACCGACCTCGTGCACCCGCGACGCGAGTGCCCGGGGTGCAATGAGCCGCGGGCCCTGCAGACGAGCAAGGCGACGTCCGCACGGATACTTGATTCTGGGAGCGTCGTGGGGAAACGCCACGTCCCCTGGAGGTGTTACACTCAAGGGTGCCCAGAGTACTTGCGGCTGACCTGGCACAACTACGCTACGATTGACGGGAGCCATTGGTTCCGAGGTGCCCCATCCACTCTTCGTTACTTTATGTTGACAAGCTCGTTCGGCGCGTCCGTGCAATACCTTCTGCAACTGCGCGCCCGCTTGCTCCGGGAGCACGTGACTTTCGCCGGGGAAGCGTACGTTGCGCACGACATGGAGAGGCATTCGCCAGACGGGCCTCGCCTACCTGGCTGTGCTCTTCGGCTATACATCAGTGAAGCTTGGTTCAAATGGCGGATGTTGCTACGCGTTGAACGCATGTGTGCCGACGGGGACACGTCCGTCGCCTTGGAGCACTTTTGTTTGTCCGCTACCTCAGAGGAGAACGCGCGGACCTTGTGGCCGAAGGCTCAATCGCACTTCGAGGCTGCTACCCGAGCGGCGCTGCTGCAGAGTGACCCCGCGCAGGCGAGCAGGCAGGCCATCGACGGCAACCAGAAGATAAAAAGATCTTGCTGCGGAGTGCCGCACCAGGACCGCCAATTGGATGTAGCTCTCGGGAAGGCAATCAGCTTGTCGCGCCGCCGGACACCGAAATTTGGCGCACGTTTTTGCGTCGACCACTTTGAGGAGACCTGCGCTGGGGCCAATTGCCAATATAGCGTCGTTGAGCACAAGGATCCAGAGACTGTGCTGGGAGAGACAGCAGACGAGATTCTGTTCAGGGTGTGCGAGGCTGGGGGCAATGACGAGGGGTTCTGGGTGCCAGAGTCCGAAGTGGATCCCCGAGCTGCGATCCCGTATTTCGCGGAGAAAGGCTTGGACGCGCAGCGGAGGATAACAGAGCGGAGGTTGCGGAAGAGGCGGGCGCAGGCTGACGCCCGCGAAGCCGTATCCGCAGTCATGGCCGAAGCGGCGTCGTTCTGGCACCTACTGACGCCGCAGGAGCGAGAGGACACGCTGGCCCTGCACTCTTCCTCAGGAGACTTGGCCGCTAGCTCGTGCGGAACGCACAAGGAAGGGGAGAAGGAGAGACTCCTTTCAGCCCAGACTGCTGGCGTCATGTGCGCATGCACGAGCTCTGGGATCATCACGTCGTTGCGGGAGCTGGTCGGATCAGAATCTTTGTCGCAGCGATATTTTTTCGTTAGTGCGTTGAAATCGTTGTACCCAGAACTGGAGCTTATCGTGCATGATGACGTGTGCCATCTGCACAAATTCAGCGCCTCCCGTGAATCCCACTCAGCCCACGCGGCCGCCATCGCCCCCCCGCGCTTGAAGTACTGCGTGGATGAGTTTCATGCGACGGGCCACACTGACGCATGGTGTCTGGCAAACTGTCACCCAAAGAACCCGTCTCTGGCCGAACTCGTGCAAGGGTTCCGTTCCAGCGTTTGTGAGTTCACGTTTACTTGGTTGAGCCAGTACAAGCACCAGACCAAGCACATGAACCAGTTTGGCTTTTGCTTCTTTCTACTGGAGATGGCAGACGCTCACAATGAACGCGTGCGCGCGGGCAGGACTGACCACCTGCCGAGTGCCCGCAGGGGCGCGTCCTAGCGCCGAAGCATCGCCCCCTGGTGTATGCAGCCAAAAGGATGCAACGCGCGTGGCCTAGCCTTTTGTTGCGTGCTCACCATATCCTTACCTACTACTCGCTGAAAAAGGTATTTCTGGATCCCTAGATCCCACTCTACTTTAAGCGCCTTCCGACTTCAAGTCTCTATGGCAGCCTCCTTCAAGGCTCTAGGTTTCCCCAGGGTAGGTCCCTAGGGTAGGCTTCCCAAGGGTAGGTCCCACTTAAAGCCTTAGGATTCCCAAGTGTAGGCCCCACTGAAGGCCTTAGCCTTCCCAAGGGTAGGCCTTACTGAACCTCTTATGGTAGGTGTAGGGGTAGGCCTAGGGGTAGCCCTGAGGTAGGTCCAGGGGTAGGCCCTGGGCTAGGCCTAGGGGTAGGCCCTAGGGGTAGGCCTAGGGGTAGTAGGCCTAGGGGTAGGCCTTAAGAGTAGTAGGCCCTGGGAGTAGGCCTAGGTAGGCCTGGGGGTAGGACGTAGGGGTGGGACTAAGGTAGGCCTAGGGGTAGGCCTTAGGGGTAGGCCTAGGGTAGGCCTACGAGTAGGCTTTAGGGGTAGGCCTTAAGGGTAGGCCTAGGGTGGGCCCTATAGGGAAGGGGCCTAGGGTAGGCTTTCCCCGGGCAATTTATATGTGCCCCAGCTCCCTTTGAGTCGCCCTCTCCCGATGTCCCTCCCTGACTGCGAGGAATTTCCTTCTGCACGCCCTGCGGGCCCGCGCGAGCGGGGCCCGTCCGCGGCGCAGGGCGTGCATGGGGAAATGTTCCACGTCTGGGCGGGGGCAAAGGGGGTCCAGAGCCGTCCCCAGCGTCCGAGCGATTCCAGGGGACGAAACAACGGCGATATTTACGACATGGCCAACATAACCAATGATAGCTTCCACCGAATGGCAATCGCCGCACAGTGCGCACAGCATTGCTTACACCACGATGGCTTGACGTCCGCCGATCCATTTACAGCGTCTGGAGGATCGCGCTTGAAACCGTTGCACGTTTTCGCTCAACCGCCACGGAGACGGGGCAGCCCGTCCTCCTCCTCCTCCTCCTCCTCCTCCTCCTCCCGTCCTCGTCCGCTTCGTCCTCCTCCTTCGCCTCGTCCTCCTCGTCCTCCTCCTTGTCCTTGTCCTCCTCGTCCACCTCCTCCTTCTCCTCCTCCTCCTCCGCCTCCTCCTCCTCCTCCTCCTCTTCCTCCTCCTCGTTCTCCCTCTGCCTCCTCCTCCTCCTCCTCCTCCTGCTGCTCCTCCTCCTGCTCCTGCTCCTCCTCCTCCTCCTCCTCCTCCTCCTCTTCCTCCTCCTCCTCACCCTTTTCTTCTCCTCCTCCTGCTCCTCCTCCACCCTTCTCTTCTCCTGAGTCCACCCTGGCGGACCCGGCGGACCCGGCGGACCCGGCGGACCCGGCGGACCCGGCGGACCCGGCGGACCCGGCGGACCCGGCGGACCCGGCGGACCCGGCGGACCCGGCGGACCCGGCGGACCCGGCGGACCCGGCGGACCCGGCGGACCCGCGGACCCGGCGGACCCGGCGGACCCGGCGGACCCGGCGGACCCGGCGGACCCGGCGGACCCGGCGGACCCGGCGGACCCGGCGGACCCGGCGGACCCGGCGGACCCGGCGGACCCGGCGGACCCGGCGGACCCGGCGGACCCGGCGGACCCGGCGGACCCGGCGGACCCGGCGGGCGGACACAGTTGACACAGCTGACCCGGCGGACCCGGCGGACCCGGCGGACGGACACAGTTGACGCAGCTGACCCGGCGGACCCGGCGGACCCGGCGGACCCGGCGGACCCCGCGCCCAGAGAATCATAAGTCCATCCAGGAGCAGCGCATGCGTTGCAGCCTGCAGCGCCCGAGTAATTTGGTTATTGCGTCTCCGCGCGTCGCCTTCCTCGCCGCATCTCTCGCGACTGCGATGTTGGTGCCCTCTGCGCCGATGGGGCCCCCGGTCATCGCGCCCCGCGCGTTTCCGCGGGTTTCATCGGCGTGTCGCTTCGCCGCGCGAGAGTGCGTTGAGCGGCGCTCGACGCGCGCGCG